TTATGCTGAATGAAATAAGTCAATCACATAAGGACAAATATTATATTAGTCTGTTATTGTGAAAGTTAAGGAAAGGTTTATCTATAGAAAGAAATTTTCTTTGTTGGTTACCAGGGGTGGAAGGGGAGGGGAGGGAATGCTGTTAGATAGATAAAGTATTGATTTGGGTGAAGAGAAGGGCAATGTACCAAATGTGAGTGACCAGTATGGCACCACTGAGGATGAGAAAGACAGAGAGAGGTACATGGGAGGTACAGACAACAAATACAAACCCTTTTGCACATATAGTACTGCGTTGTCAGTGAAGGCAAACATAGTTATATGGGTGGATAGATAGGTGGACAGGCTAAACATTGAGATAATGTCTATGAAATGGGGAGGGTATCCAAGAATATATATGTCCTGTAAGTTTATATGAATGATCAGAATTCCCAGGTGTATACTAGTGCTGACAATGGGCAAAGTTGTGGTCACTGCTTGGTCACAGCCAGCTACCCAGAGGGACCGAGTAGTTGAACCTGTGGGCTTGGGACCATAGTTGCAGAGGACATCAAGCTCAATTGGCATAACATACTATACAAAACATTGTTCCACCTCCTACTCTGACAAGTAGCAACTGGGATCTTGAAAGCTAGCAAGCTGCCATCTAGATGCAATGATGAGTCTCTCCTCATCCAGAGCAAAGAAGAATGAAGAAAACCAAAATTCATGGAAACAATCAGTCCTAGCAACTGGTACACCATCCGATCTGCAGCGTATACAACTATGAGACCAGAAGAACTAGATGGTGCCTGACTACCACTGTCATTCACTTGGAAGGGGATCTATGTAGGAGATCCTTGATAGAGAAGGAGAACAATGTGGAACAAAACTCAAAATCATTTGGAGGAAAAAAGAAAAGTGGGGACCAGGTTTGCTGGTCCAATGGAGTCTGGTGGAACCACTGAGACTATGGCCCCTAGCTGCCCTTCATGTCTGGAATTAAACCCACACCTGTGGTTTCCAGCCAAACAAAAGACAGGCATATGAGTTGAACTTTTACCTCAAGTAGATACACTCCTTGGAGAGAACAATCATGGGAGAAAGATGGACTGCTTATGCACAGGAGACAGCTCAGGGGGCCGGAGTGTATGGAGAGATGGACACTGGGAAGAGGTAACTATGGGGAGGAAGTGGAAAGGGAACTGTTGCATTGTGGTAAACTGTGGTCAATGACATGAGACAATGTATATGTGAACTGCTGTATGGAAAGTGAATTTTCTCTGTAAATCTTCACCCAAATCACAATTAAAAAAAAAAAAAAGAGGAGACATCACCTGTAATTTGATACATAATTAAAGCAAAAGAAGGTACTGTTATTTTGTCTCTTTGTGAATGTATATATTTTTAAAGAGTTGCTGAAGTAGTTTCAAATAATTTTTGTCTTGGGTTTTTCACTTAACATATACCCATATTTCCATATTAAGACTTTTTATTCAAAATCATAATTTAAAATGGTTGTGCCACATGTATGAAGTTGTTAATCATTCCCGTGATTGTATATATATTGCTAGCTCCCTTTTGGGTTTTTTTTTCCCACTATCTTACATGAAATTTTGAAGAACATGTTTTGTACACGTAACTTTTTCTTGTGATTTATGATTTTAAAATAAAGTTACCTAAAGTGGGATTGATAGGCCAAAATTTAGAAATTATTGTATAGCTTTTGCCTAATTACTTTCTGCCAGTATAGACCTAAGCAATTTCAGGGTACCCACAAGAACACTGGTGTTGTTGTTGTTATGTGCCATCGAGTTGGACCCGACTCATCGCCACCCTTCCTTGGGTTTCCAAGGCAGTATCACTACAGAAGTAGATTGCCCAACTTTCCTTCCAAGGAGTGGCTGGTGGGTTTGAACCACCAGCCTTCTGGTTAGTAGTCAAGTGCCTTAGGCACTATGCTACCAAACTCTTCAACCCCACAAGAGGAAGACAGAATCACCATCAATAGCCCAAGGCCTATTCTTGCAAGGCCAGACATGCTGCTTCCCTCCAGCCCTTTGACCAACTCTGACACCAACCGTTCCTTCCACAGCACTCATCACCTTTCTGCTGGGTTCAGTAATTCAGTGGCCACACAGAACTCACAGATTATGGGGTTTATTAGGGAAGCACCAGGCTACAATTCAAGTTCAGGAAAAATGCTCAGTTTGTTTCAGCCTGCCATGTCTCAGTCAACAGGCTCTCATAGTCTCTCTCCCAGCAGTGCATGTCTCTTGGTGTCTCTCTCAGCAGTGCCATGTCTCTTGCGTCTCTTTCCAGCAGCGTGTGTCTCTCAGCATGTGTCTCTCAGGAGTGCATTTCTCTCACGAGTACATTTCTCTCAGCAGCACATCCTTCTCCACCAGCAGTCAGAGAGACTTCTGCCTCTAGGAGGCCTTCTTTTGAGCCTGGCAGAGTGGCCAAACTAACCAATCATAACATTAAAATTCTAAACACCTGAGAGAGAGCTAACTTCCCAGAACATTACTTTGTGCTGCTCCCAACAGAAATACCCCGGTGGATGATTTTAACAATCAGAAGCTACTCAGTGTCTCACAGCAAATTCCTCCATGAAGTTTACAAAGCCTTATGGCTAGAAAAGCCATACCATGTGTTTCACTACACCACAGGAGGTTTGTTTTTGCACACTTAGTATGCAAAAACAAAGATTTTTATATATAGTGTGAACATCTAATCTAGCTTTAGTTCCTCTTTAGGAAATGTCCTTTCCCCACATATCTCTTGAGGTTTTAATTTTTTTCTTTTATTCAAGTTCCATATATATTAAAAATACAAACCTTTTATCACATTTGTTTTTAATTCATTTCCCTGCCTTTTTATCTTTGGCTAAAAATAACATATTTCATAAAAGGCATTGCATTTTTTTCTCTTAAAATTGTATCTATTTTTAATGACTATCAGTAGTCGGTGAGGAAAATATCTGTGTTGCATTCGGTATTTCTTGTATAATTAGTTCCTGGAAATATACGTAGTTCTCCATACGTAGGGCAATAAATACCCTGTATAAAGCAAAAAGATGTCCATCTCTTCTTAAGAAAACTAATCCATCCATTCATATTTTTTTTATTGCATTTATTGTGCTGTTAGGCATTTTGTGTCAATGCAGTATTACCCAATCATTATTCATTTTCATATTTCTATACCCTCGCTTACTAAGCCCTGGTTTCTTCTAATCCATTGCCATCTTTTAAATATAAGTGTGAAAAACACAAATTAATTCTTCATCACCACTTCCACCCCACATCATACAGACTTAATAAATGCACTGCCCTCAAGTCGGTTCCAACTCACACTGACCCTATAGGACAGAGTAGAACTGCCCCATCGGGTTTCAAAAGCTGTAAATCTTTATGGAAGGAGACTGCTTTATCTTTCTCTCATGGAATGGCTGGTGGGTTCAAACCATTCACTTTTTGGTTAGCAGCCAAATGCCTTAACCACTGTGCCACCAGAGCTCCTTCAGTACAGACTTAAGAGGAGGGAAAGTTGTAACCAGCCTCATCGCAAATTTTGTGCTGGTTCTCTGAAAAAAGTTAGAATGAAAAATAGAACAAGTAACTGAAATAACTTTCAGACTCTTTTGTTTATTATGAAATGCTATTTCCCATCTAGAGGTGGGGTAAAAGCAACTATGGTGTTGCAATAAAGCCAGATTATCCACCCATAGTAAAATGGTCTCCCTATAGTCATCCAGCCTAAGTCCTGAAAAGTACCTTTTTTTGACATAGTGTTTTGTCTTTCTGAGCCTTATCCCCTTTGGGGAACATATGAGGCGATTTCTTTATGTAATATAGAACATGCAAACAATCAGTCAAAAAAAGTGATGATATTTACTCTGTCAGTCTCTAGAAACTACAAGTAAATAACCATCTTTTGTCTCCATACCCAGTATTCCTCATTATGAAGAGAGTGATATATGACAAGTGTCCTATAGTGAAGACTCACATTCTGAAAAAGTAAAATTAAGAGATTTATTAAAAGTCCAGGAATGGTCCAAAGCCAAACTCGATGCCACCGAATCAATTCCAACTCATAGCAACCCCCACTGGGTTTCCAAGGTGATGAATCTTTACAAAAGTAGATTGCCCCATCTTCCTTCCATGGAGCGGCTGGTGGGTTTGAACTGCCAGCCTTCTGGTTAGCAGTCAGATGCCTTATGCACTGTGCTACCAGAGCTCCTTAGAAATGGTCCACACTGGGAAAAATGTCCAGATTCACAGAGTGACTATGGCTGCTCCACTTGACAGTGAAGAATTACAAGCATTCCTTTGCACCTGAATCGGGAAGAAAAGCTACAAAAGCATTATAGGCTGAAAGATGAGAGTGGAAGGCAGGATATCTGAGACAGTGGGTACTTAGTGGGGATAGGTGGGTAACGTATGTGGGGTTACATGATTGGTTAAGGGTGCATAATTGCAAACGTATGTGGTCTTCAGTTTTTTACAGGATGGTCATAGGACAATGGCAGGACAGTTTTTCTGAGAACCTGCTATTAACATTGCTTTCTCCATCCTGACTGTTCTTAGTAGTCCATTGTAAAGATTTATTGATAATGCTGTGCATCAAGACGGTGTGGGCATAAACTAGAGCATCTTGCATCTGTTTGACCATAAAGGAAAGACCCCCTGGGAGTAGATTCTGACATCCTGCATCTGGCCAACCACAGAGAGAGGGGAAAAAAAATTTCCTTTAGGCTGTATCGGAAGGAAGGTTGGGCATTCTACTTCCGTAGCGATATTGCCTCGGAAACCCAAGGAGGTGTCACTATGAGTGGAATCTGACTTGACAGCAGTGCGTTTTTTTTTTTTTTTTTTTTAGGCTATATGGTTAGGTTGACACAAAGATTAGAGAAACTGCTGTTAGAAAGGTAACTGCCACATGGATTCTAGACTCATGTCAAGATTTTAAGATGGAGTTAAGGCTGTACTTTCAGACGTCTCTTTACATATACCAAGTACCTCTGATTTTAGACTCTCATGCATATTGCACTAGGCTAAATAAACTACAAGCTATTCAATTGGTATAAAATCATAACCCTCAGAATCACAGTGGATTACTTATGAATTAGCACAATGATAATAATCATTCCATTTAGACATTTGACTTCCTAGGAGGACACCAATAACTGATCCCTACTGTGGTTTTCCACAACTTGACAGTTTTAACATATTGTACAGGAGGAGGCAAGATGAGGTAAAAGAGCTTTAAATCCTCAAGCCAAAATTATATAGTAACATCTTCTCTAGAAGCGTTCATATTCAACTGACTACGATGGGAGAAAAATACTGCAGTTTTATTGATGTAAATCTTAATGTGTTTAGTTATTTAAAGATATTCCCAAAATCTTAAGATGTTAGCATTTAACAAAATAAAGTTGAGTATGGATTACTTTTTAATTGACATTAAACATTTTTAAACTTTTTATTCTAGAAAAATTTTAATCAATACAGGAATAACCCATCACCAAGTTTATACAATTATCAACTCTTAGCCAGTCTTATTTTGTCAATATCTCCATCCACTCCCCTACTCCCACATTATTTTGAAGAAAATCCCAGAGACGTATCATTTCATTCTCTATTTAGGTACCTTTCTTTCTAAGATAATGACTCTTTATATAATTTTTATTATCGTACCTGAAGTTTTTAAAATCATTCCTAATGCCATCAAACACAGTGTTCAAATTTCCAATTGTTTGTTAAATATAATTTTTAAAGCATCTAAATAATTATTATTAATGGTTATAACATAGTGAAAAACAGTAAAGATACTAGCAGTAAAATCATTCTTAGATTTCTTGCACCTCTTTTTTCTTTCCAGTGCCTTGATATGCTACAATGCTTGGGCATTCCATGGGTTCAAGCTTCTGGGGAAGCTGAAGCCATGTGTGCTTACCTCAATGCTAATGGTTATGTAGATGGATGCCTCACCAATGATGGAGATGCTTTCCTTTATGGGGCACAGACTGTTTACAGGAATTTCACTATGAATACACAGGTATTTTTTTGTTTCTCTTTTTCTACATTTGTTTTTACAAATTACCTTCTTTTAAAGAACTCTTCAATGAATAAATCAAATAGTACCTGTTAGGTATTTAGTATAATATCTGGCATAAAGCATTTGCTAGGTAAACATTTACTGTTATTAAAAATATTATTGCCACATAGTTCCTTCTCTTTGCAGTGTGAATCTCTCCTTAGCATGGCTTGTTTCACATGGTTTAATTCTAAATCAATTTTAATAATATTATTATCACAAAATTACATATGAAATGTATTACATTGACTCATAGTTTCCATTTTAGTAATTTATCCTCAAAAACACCTTCCTTATATGCAAGATGAGTTGTATAAGAATGTTCACTATAACATAAACCAAAAAACCAAACTCATTGCCATCAAGTCGAATCCAATTCATAGCAACCCCTCCTTGGGTTTCCAAGTCGGTATCATTGCGGAAGTAGATTGCCCAGTCTTCCTACTAAAATGGTTAAATACATTACATACTTCTCAGCCAGTGGCATCTTGGCTGTAATAATTCAGGGTTAGGGAAGGAAGGCTACAGATACTTGGTTGGTACCAAGCAAGCTAAACCTCTTGCAAGACAATTCTGTTATACTTCCCAAAATGCTAACAGTGTCCCTGTTTTGAGAAACATAGTCTCACAGTTCCTATTATATAATAGAAAGCAGTCATTAAAAAGATAAGTATTATTTACACTGATATCCAGGCATGTTAGTGGAAATAGTGCAAATCAGTACTTTTCTATTATCCTATTTTTACTCAAAAATATAATAATAAATACTACTATATATAGCAAGCTATGATGACGTAGTGGGTAAGACAGTTGGCTGCTAACCAGAAGGTCAGCAGTTCAAACCCACCAGCTTCTTCGTGGGAGGAAGATGAGGCAGTCTATTTCTATAAAGATTTACAGCCTTGGAAACCCAAAGGGGGTCGCTATGAGTAGGAATCGACTCGTTAGAGGTGGTTTTGGTTGCTAATAATAGTTAACTTTAGGTAATGTAATTACACGGGATATTTACTTTCTACAATTCATATTTTACAGTATTGAATTTTGTAAAATGAAGATATGTTTTCTTAGACTCAGAAAGCAAAGCACTGGAGAAGAAAACATTGATTACTGTATACCTATTCCTTTTCTGCTATCTCATTACATGAAATTTTGCATTTACAACAGTAGTAAAAACTTTTCTATCCAATTATTTTTCACAGTATGAAGGCAGTGGCTTTGTAGAGTCTTTTCCCTGGAGGTGGGTCTTAAGACAGCCTCTGAGAAGCTGGCCCACACTGTCCCTTACCATCCTGCTGCCATGCCAGCTTTGTCCTTGGCATGGCCTCCTCCATGCTGATACCAAGGTAGCACCTAGCCACAAGTGCCTGTTCTGGGTTCCCAACTCCTGTGAGGCCCTATAGCTCAAAATTGCTTTAGGGTGGGAAAGATGAAATGAAAGAGGCATCAGAGAAGGTATTTGGCAGAAAACTATGCAAGTTTAATGACATGCCAAAGTAAGCCAAATTGGGCCTGAAACCTCCACCTCAGTGGAGCCATGTGCTCTGCCAGGCTCTCAGCACCCTAAGCTGCTCTGGCTCACCCCAGAGAGCAGAGCAGGCTCCAGAATCTTGAATGCAAGCCTTGCAGGGATGAGACTGGAGCTCGGGAGGCAGCTCCACAAGGAAAGCTCTGACCGAGCACAGAAGGAAGGTGAAGTGGTTAAGCTCTGGGCCCACCAATTAAACAGTCTGGCTATATCTAGCTTTGTCTTCTCCAAGCCTCCTCTGCAGAGTAATAATCCATAAGTAGACTCATCACAGCAATAAGCACATCAGTAAATCTAGTTGTTAAGTGCTACTCAGTTGGTTCTGACTTACAGCAACCCTATTCAAAACAGAATGAAACACTCCCCAAGTCTTGTGCTATCTTCACAATCATTGCTATGCTTGAGCCCATTGTTCCAACAACTGTGTGAATCCATGTCGTTGCGGGTCCTCTTCTTTTGGCTGACTCTGCACTTTACCAAGCATACTGTCTTTCTCCATAGATGGATCCCTCCTGATAACATGTCCAAAGTACGTGAGATAAAGTCTCCCTTGCTTCTAAGTTGCATTCTGGCTGTACTTCTTCCAAGACAGATTTGATCATTCTTCTGGAGGTCCATGGTATACTTACTATTCTTCACCAACATCATCATTCAAAGACATCAATTCTTTCTTGGTTTTCCTCATTCATTGTTCATCTCTTACATCCATGTGAGTGATCAAAAATACCATTGCTTGGGTCAGGTGCACCTTAGTCTTCAATGTGGCATCTTTGCTTTTTAAAACTTTAAAGAGATATTTTGGAGCAGATTTGTCCAATGTACTACATCGTCATAGTACTGATTTCTTGACTTCTGTTTCCGTTGACACCAATTGCAGATCCAAGTAAAATGAAATCCTTGACAGTGTCAGTCTTGTCTCCATTTAGCATATTGCTTATTGGGCTGGTTGTGAGGATTTTTGTTCTTTGTTGAGGTATAGCCCGTCCTGAAGACTGTAGTCTTTAATCTTCATTAGTAAGTGCTTTCAAGCAAGCAAGGTTATGTCATCTGCACATTGTAGATTGTTAATGAGTCTTCTTCCAATCCCTATGCCTCATTCTTCCAGTTTTTCAGTCTAGTTTATTGCATTATTTGCTTAGCATACAGATTTAATAACTACGCTGAAAGGTTACAGTCCTAACACATACCTTTCCAGGTTTTATACCTTGCAATAGCTCCTTTTCTATTTGAACTACTGCCTTTTGATCTGTGTAAAGGTTCCACATGAGCACATTTAAGGGTTCTGGAATTTCTACTCTTCACAATGTTATCTGTAATTTATTATGATCCACATAGTCCAATGCCTTTGCATAGTTAATAAGACACAAACATCTTTCTGGTATTCTCTGCTTTCAGCCAAAATCTGTCTGACATCAGCAGTGATATTCCTTGTTCCATGTTCTCTTCTGAATCTAGCTTGAATTTCTGACAATTCCCTATTGATGTACTTCTGAAACCATTTCTGAATTATCTTCAGCAATATCTTACTTGCTTGTGAGGTTAATGATATTGCTTGATAATTTCTACATTCTGTTATATCACCTTTCTTTGAAATAGACACAAATATGACTTTATTCCAGTTGGTTGGCCAGGTATCACTCTTCCAAATTTCTCAGCGTAGACAAAGTAGCACTTCTAGCACATGTTTGTTGAAAACATTTCAGTTGGCATTCCATCAATTACTGGAGGCTGGTTTTTCACCAGTGCCTTCAGTGTAGCTTGGGCTTCAGTTCTTGATCATATGTTATCTCCTAAAATGGCTGAACGTCAACCAGTTCTTTTTGGTATAGAGACTCTCTATTGCCTCTATCTTTTTTTGATACTTCCTGCATCATTCAATATTTTGCCTATAAAATCCTTCAGTATTTCACAAAGCTTGAATTTTTTCTTCAGTACTTACAACTTGAGAAATGCTGAGTATGTTTTTCCCTTTTGATTTTCTAACTCTAGATTTTGCATATTTCATTATAAAACTTCTCGAGTTACCCTTTAAAATCTTCTGTTCAGCACTTTTACATCACCATTTCTTCCATTCTCTTTAGCTCTTCTACATTCAAAAGGAAGTTTCAGAGTCTCTTCTGACATCTGTTTTGGTCATTTCTTTCTTAGTTGTCTTTTTAATGACCTTTCGCTTACTTCATGTATAATATGGATGATGTAATCCCACAACTCATCTGGTCACGGGCATTGGTGTTCAAATCTGTTCTTGAGATGGTCTCCGAATTCAGATGACATTTACTCAAGGTTATATTTTGACTCTCATGGCCTTTTTAAAATTTCCTTCAGCTTCCACTTGAACTTGCATATCAGCAATTGATTGTTCTATAGTTGGCCCCTGGCCTTGTCCTGACTGATGATATTGAGCTTCTCCATCATCTCTTTCCACAGATGTACAGTTTCATTCCTGTGTATTTCATTTGGTGATGTCCACATATACAGTTGCCATTGATGTTGTTGAAAAAATATATTTGCAATGAATAAGTCATTGGTTTTGCAAAATTCTATCATGCAATCTCTGGCATTGTTTATTTCCAACCTCAGATCTTTCTTCTTTGTTTCCAGCTTTTGCATTCCAATCACCAGTAATCATCAATGCATTTTGATTGCATGTTTGATCAGTTTCAGATTGCAGAAGTTGATAAAAATCTTCAATTTCTTCAACGTTAGCTTTAGTGGTTGGTACATAAATTTGAAAAATTGTTGTATTAACTAGTTGTCTTGTTTCTCTGGTATGGCTGTAACAGAAATACCACAAGTGGATGGCTTAACAAACAGGAATTTATTCTCCTATAGTTTAAGAGGCTAGAAGTCCAAATTCAGAATGTCAGCTCTAGGGGCTTGGTGAAGGCTCCTTGACCTTGAGTTTCAGTTCTGCCTCTTATTTCAGGCCTGCTGTAGCTAGAGGCATCTCCTAACTCAGACATCTGCTGGCTGCTAAGGTTGATGAACCCAAGGTCAGCAGGTAAAATGGTACCATCTCAAAATTGTAGGCAACATGGCAGGCTACTGGTCCAAATCTGGGAACAATTCTAAGATCAACAGGCAACACTGCAGGCCACTCACTCAAGTCCAGGAACTAGAGATGAAGATTTGGCAAAATGCAGGATCCAGATGGGCCAAAAAGCTGGAGACCTTTCTCAAAGTTTCTCTTTACATGCTGGAAGTAGGCCACACCCCAAAGGCAACTAATTAGCAGCTCATAGCAGATTCAGCCATGGAGTTGATACAGTCCCATCATGGGGAATAACTACATCCAGCTCCAGCATCACTCAGAACCACAGCCCAGCCAAGTTGCTACACAACTTTAACTACCATACTGGTCTTTGTAGATATATACATATTATCCTATCACTGACAGCATTGTACTTCAAGGTAGATCTTGAAATGTTCTGTTTGACGATGGATGTGATACCATTCCTCTTCAAGTTGTCATTCCCAGCCTAGTAGACCATGTGATTGTCCAATTCCAAATGGCCAATACCAGTCCATTTCAGCTGACTAATGCCTAGGATATCAGTCTTTATGTATTCCATTACATTTTTGACAACTTCCAACTTTCCTAGATTCATACTTAATAAATTCCACGTTCCAGTTATTAACAGATAGTTTAAGTTATGTCACATCAGCAGATGAACATCTGGAAAGCTCTATTCATGCACATCAGGTTGATCCTCCTTTGAGAAGGCTGCTCTTCCCCAGTCGTATTTTGAATGCCTTCCAACCTGAGGGGCTCATGTTCTGGCAGTCTATTGACCATGTTCGGCTGCTATTCATAAGGTTTTCACTGGCCACATTTTCCAGAAGTAGACCACGAGGTCTTTTTTTCTAGTCTTTGTTGTTCTGGAAGCTCCACTGAAACCTCTCCACCATGGGTGACCCTGATGATATTTGAAATACTGGTGGCATAGCTTCCAGTATCATGGCAATACATAAACCATGCAAATAGTATGAAAACTGACAGACGAGTGGTGGGACTCAACCAAAAACAATTTAAAAATATAAACTGTATCCGCTCCTCACTTATCCACATGGTTAGGTTCCAAAGACCAGATTGTTATGTGAAAATCAGCATTATGTGGAAATAGCGGGGTGTTTTATTTTTGTTTCTCCTGTTTTGAAACCGTCTATCTCTCTTTTTTTTTTTAATTTGGAAAATATGATCATAGAAATAATAACAGCTGAGATTTAGTGCTGTTATTATTTCTGTGACCATATTTTCCAAATATGTAAATCTTAAATGTTATTATTTCCATAATGATATTTTCTAAACTAAAAAAAAAAAAAGGTAAATGAATGGTCTGGGGAAAAAGTCCTCATTTTTACATTACACCAATTTTCATGTAAATGACCTGCTCTTTAGAACCTAACCATGTCAATACATGAGGATTAGTTATTGTTTATTTTGTTCAGTTGTTTTTGAAACTGTGCCGTTATTTCTAGATAGTGAAGTATCAGTTTCTGGGTAGATTCTGTTGATCAGGATAATTTCCTTAAGTTTTTAGGAATAATTAAACATTTAGAGAGAATGATAGATTATTGTGTTTAATATATAAATATATTTTGAAGATTAAATCTGTATTTTGTTTTAGGACCCACATGTTGACTGTTACACAATGTCGTCTATCAAGAGTAAACTAGGTTTGGATAGAGATGCTCTGGTGGGGCTAGCAATACTACTTGGCTGTGATTATCTTCCAAAGGTACACTGAAATTGTCACATTCATTTACTATTCAGAGTGTGTCTTTTAGTACCTTACATGCTTTCTAAATATGAATATAATATGGTTATATGATTAAATAGAAATCTAATTTAAAGTATTATTTTGTTGTTGTTGTTGTTGTTATTTGCCATCGAGTCGGCCCCGACTCATAGCGACCCCTCCTTGGGTTTCCAAGGCAGTATCACTACGGAAGTAGGATTGCCCAACATAAATCAGCATTTCAAAAGGAATTGAAAATCTGAGCCATAGTAACATTGATTTGTATAAATTAGAATAGAATAATGAGTAGTACTGAAGCTTGTATATCAGTACTCTAGGTTAATAAAAGAGGTTCACATTCCACTTTGACTATGTTTTTAAAGAAATACAGGTAATAATCTTTTATTATACATACCAATGTTAGTTTCTGTCACTGTTTTGTCTCTTTTTTAGTTTTTAATCTCCATTGTACCTTTTCACTTGTAGAAGTGCTTGGTGTAATTATTACTGTTGCTAGGTAGGTACCATGATTATTGATGTAAGGTATTCATCTTTCTGTGCCTCTGAGCACTGCATTGAGTTTTGTTCATGAATATATTTATTTTTGTGCACAATATTGTGTTCTGTAACAAATAGGCATAATAAGTAAGTGATGAATTAAGAATTATGAGTATACCCTCATTTTAAAAATATAAAATGACTGGTATTGTACTTTTAACTATGCAGTCCCATCATTATGTCCTCCTGATCATCTCTGTTTCCTTATTTACCAAATGCCTCATTATACCTTTATCCCCAAGAAAAGTCTAAAGAAGAATGACTTTTTTTTTTTTTTCACCTGAGCAAGAAAGGAAGAAATTGCTGGATAGTAAAATTAGTAAACATCATTTCTATCAATGGCCAAACAGATTGCAATTTTTTTTACTAATAAGAAAAGCAAATACAAGGAACTTTTAAATAACTTAAAAATAATTCATTTATTGTAATTCTCATTTGAAATGAAGACCACTATAATTCCCATATGTAATTATATGATAATTAAAATCTAGAGACAGATCAATGTTGAATTTAAGAAAATTTTGCAAACTTGAACTGACAGAAACCAACTTTAACTAAAATGGTGTTTAAATTGTCTATTATCCTCAGCCATTTTGTCCTTTCGTATCTTATGTAACCAGAACTGCTCTTTTTTAATATATTCTTCTACTTAAATATTTTTAAGAGTATGTGCTAACATAATTTGCCTTCAAAAAAATTTTTTTTTAATTTTTATTGTGATTTGGGTGCAAGTTTACAGAGCAAAATCATTTTCCATACAACAGTTCATACACATTTTATGGCATTGACTGCAATTCCCTGCAGTGTAACAGCTCTTTTCCCACTTCCTCCCTGTAGTTCTCTTCCCTGTGTCCTTCCCTCCCATGCACTCCTGTCCCACCCCCCAAGCTATAACCCTGTGTAAACACTGCCCTTCTATTCTCCCATGGTCAACCTGATATAAATGTTCACTCCTTATGCCTGTCTTTTATTTGGCTGGAAGCCATAGGAGTGAGTTTAGTTCTAGACCTGAAGAGTGACTAGTGGCCATAGTCTTAGGGATCTCACCAGGCTCTATCAGACCAGCAAACCTGGTCATTTTTTATGACTTTGAGTTTTGTTCTACTACTCTATCCAGGATCTCCTGCACTGATCCCCTTCTGAGTGGTTGATAGCAGTAGCCTGGCACCATCTGGTTTTTCTGGTCACGTGATCATATATTGCCTTCAAAAATTTTAAGATATAAATAAATGATAATACATAAAGGGTGATATTCAAAATATTTAACAACTGGCACAGACTAGGCTGTAGAGATGGAGCAGGGTTTTGCATGCCCTCTCCTATGCCATGCGCTACCTTTTTAGTACCTGAATCCTGAGTAAAGGTAGGTTGGAATGGTAGATTCAGCTTAGAGGGAAGACCGTGTATGTAGGCAGGCATCCAGAATGTGTGGATGGTAACTATTTACTAACCAGTTTGAAAGTATTTTAACACTGATATGTCTGTTCTGTTGCATACGGACTACAGCACACCGATTTATAAGGACATGTTCATAAATTTTGTAGGAACAGGATTTCATTTAACCTGGAAATTGTCATATGAATATGTGTTTATTTGTTGTTTTTTCTTGCATTGGAAACTTGTATTATTTTAATTTTCTTAATTTTTTCATTTTGAGAGTTAACACTAAATTCCCCTTTATTCTGTTTGGATGTCCATGCCTTAAACATACTTTTTCCTGATTACAAATACAATTATGTAAAATTAAAATACTACCAAAATAAGTAACATAAAAGCCCTCTAAAATTCTGTCCTTTCCTCCCCTAAAATAAATACTGTCAGTAGTAAAAATACTGTTTTGCCTTTTTGTTTATATATACTAACATTGTTATTATTACTTAATTTACCAGTGTAGTTCATACTATAAACTTATAAACTAATCTCTCAGTTTTTGTTTTATACATAATAGTGCATCTTGGCCATTTTTACCTAGCATTACATAGAGAGATACCTCATTCTTTCTTTCAGTTGCCTAATCTTCCGTTGAATGGACATACCACACTTTATTTAACCACTTCCTAGTGATTAAGTGTTTTTTTTTCTCCACATTCTGAAAGGGAGTTCCTGGAGTTGGAAAAGAGCAAGCTTTAAAACTTATACAGACTTTGAAAGGGCAAAGTTTACTGCAAAGGTAACTAAAAATTACATTTTTTATGTGACATTGAACTTTCATTCTTGTTTAACTTAATAGCCAATACAACAAAAAGGATTATATTTTTCTAAAATAGGATTTTGTTTTTAAGCTCATTTAAATTTTCATTTAAAATCATTTATTTTCATTTATTCTGAAGCTTTCCAAAGAAAGGATGAAAATGTATGCTCGAAGCCATACTATATTTAAAAAAAAAAAAAATCAGCTCACTACAAACACAGTTACTATAATGTCAAATGCATTTATTTATAACCCAAGGCATTTTGCCATGGGAGCTCTGGTAGCATAGTGCCTAAGGCACTTGACTGCTAACAGAATTCTGGCGGTTCAAACCCACCAGCCACTCCTCGGAAGGAAGATGGGGCAATCTACTTCCGGAAACCCAAGGAGGGGTCGCTATGAGTCGGGTCCGATTCAACGGCACATAACAACAACAACAGGCATTTTGCCACAGACTATTTCACACTTTATTAAAACCAACCAAAAAAAAAAACCACACTTACTGCTGTAGTCGACTGAGACTCATAACGACCCCTCCTTGGGTTTCCTAGGTGGTATCTCTATAGAAGTAGATTGCCCAATCTTCCTTCCAATTATTAAAACCAAGTAAAGATAAACATATTAAAGAATTTTATATTTAACACTTTGATTTTTTGTATTTATTTTCTGTAACTGAAATACCTGTGTTACATTGCAGACATTTAATAAAAAATACTTAATCAACATTTTTACTTGACTGCCCTTTGTTCTGTAGCTATACATTTAATAATAATCCATTTAGACTCTATAGTTTGATACTTAAAGATAATGAAGGTACAGATGTTATTGAAATTTAGAAACTGTGCTATTTATTATCTAAAAAGCATGTGAATTATATTTACTTTGTGAAAATAGTGTTTTATAAAATTAATGCTGATGACAGTAAGGTGTAGAATAAGTAAAGAAAAGAACTATGTTGGGCGATTTAAAACCTCCTTGGTCTCTCATGGGTTAGAGATAATGAGTGTCCAAACAGTAATGTTAAGTGGTAGAATGAAAAAGGAGTTGCCATGAAAATAATTTCAAATCACTGTACCCTTACCTATAATGTTTTCTTTCAGCTATAAAACTGTTGCTAGATCTAAGACTTCAGTAATCCATTATTGACATCAGTGATTACATTGCCAAAGCAGGAAAGAAAAGGTATATTTAGACTTATGGGTGAAGTTAAGAAATCATTTGGGACTAATATAAAAATAATAGTTATTAAAATAGAATAGGAAACAGATATGGTAATTTCCTAAGTACAGGATTATTCTTGTTGAAACAGATCCTGTAAATAACGTACTGTTGGCAACATTTCATTAAATATTTGTCTTAACACTTTAAAATAATAAAACTATATTTCTTTTTAAAATCATGTATAATTCTGATGATTAATTTAGACTCATTTTCCTCGCAGTATTTGTTATTTTTGGAGTTCCATTTATTATTTATCCAGCAGAAATAAATGCTAATTTTTAGCAAGCTTATACTTGGCCTTTGTACAAAATGAGTTAGAAATTCCAAAAATTCAATACTTAATCTAACTGTTGTTGTTGTTGCTTGCCATCGAGTCGGACCTGACTCATAGCGACCTCTCCTTGGCTTTCCGAGGCAGTATCACTACTGAAATAGATTGCCCAATCTTCCTCCCGAGGAATGGCCGGTGGGTTTGAACCTCCAGCTTTCTGGTTAGCAGTCAAGTGCCTTAGGCACTATGCTACCAAAGAAATGCTATATAGTGAATTGAAGATATCGATAAGTCAGAATTTTTTAAAAAACTTTAACTTCAATAAATAGAGGAACATAATTCAGAATAGTTACATTTTATTTTTAATAGCTAACTACCGCCCTGGTGGGAGTTCCTGGTTGGTGCAAATGGAAGTAATATTTTATTTAGTCTTATACCTTATCCTTCATTCTTATTTTTGATACAGAAAAATGTTCATTTATATGATTCTGTTTGTTTTATACTCTGGCACACAGACAAGAGATCGAAAACAAGATATATACAAATTATCCTCTCCACATATTACTGCCTAATTTAAGATTCTTAAAAAAATATTGAATGAATATATGTAATTTTTATAGGTTTAAAAATTGTAGTACATAGACTAGTGCGCTCTCAGGGAAAGTTGGACCAGCAACTTTATCTGCCATCAAAGGATAAGTAGGCAGATGAAAGGGAACAGAACAGCATAACATTTGAGAACATGGAATTTTTGTGCCTTACTATTGTTTTTTTCTTTTTTTTCTTCTTCTTCTTAAATTTTTCTACTAAAGGTTTAATGAGTGGAATGAAAAATCTTGTTACTCTGATCCACAAACACAAGTTGTTAAAAAACTGGCTCATTGCTCTGTGTGTTCCCATCCAGGTAAGCAGACATACGGAATGTTATCTACGGAATATAAATGCCTGAGAACCACATTTTCATTCCTATTCTCATTATACTTTGTATATACCTATATAGATAGCACTTTGAAGTCTTTTACATTGTCCTCCCCACTAGACTAAAAATTCTGGGCATAGGAGTTGTGTCACATACATCTGACACAGTGTCTTACACGTCCTAGGCACTCAAATGTTTATTGAGTGAAATCATGTGATATAAATGATAAAAAAAAGAGGAGAAGTCCATTTTCAGATTATGATACTAGATATCTTAGATCTTAAGACTCATCTGTTTTCAATATAGAAATCCATTTTTAAGAATAAAAGATATGAGAGCCATAACAAGAACAGATATATGCACGCCGATGTTCATCGCAGCACTATTTACAATAGCCAAAACATGGAAACAACCTAGATGTCCATCA